TTTAATGTTAATAAGTAAATTCATGTGGTCTGTATTCTTCATGGGCTAATTTCTTTATCTTAATATTTGATTACTATACATGCATTTGTGGCAGGTAGCACTGGTTCTTTTCAGTAACAGGTAGTATTTTATCATACATTTGTATTATAAGGCAATTAGTCATACTGGAAAGAAAATGGGTTATTTAATGGCTTCCTTTAGTAACTTTGGATTTATTTGGAGCATTCAAGCATAGCAAAGCTTTTCTGATTTGCTTTGTTACATAATATATGATCCCAAAACTTCTGTCACTGTTTGAGTACTTGCCATTTTTAAGTGCATAACATTTTTGAGGGGCTATCTTTCAGAGATTCTTCTCTCTTTAAAGATTTATTTGTGGGTCTGGCATGGTTAATCCTCACTCCTGCAAGCCCCAGGATCCCATATGAATACCGGTTCATGTCCTGACTGCTTCACTTGTGATCTAACTTATGTCCTGGGAAATCAGTGGAGGATGGCCAAAAACTTTGGATCCCTGCTCCCACATGTGAGAACCAGAAGAGGCTCCTGGTTCCTGACTGCAGATGGGCTCAGCTCCAGCCATTACGACCACTTGAGGAATAAGCCAGTGGAAGGAGGATCTTTCTGTCTCTACTTCTTTCTATAAATCTTTGAAATAAAATGGAATAACTCTTTAAAAATTTATTTGAAAGCTGGGGTTTCATTCATTCACTCTCCAAATAGCTGCAGAGGCCGGGGCTTAGCCAAGCCAGGCCAAGAACCTAGGTGTTCATCCAGGTGTCCACATGGATGACAGAGGCTCATGTAATTGGGCAGTCCTCTGCAGCCTTCCCAGGCACATTATCAGGGAGCTGGATCAGAGCTTCAGCAGTCAGTTCTCAAACCAGAGGTCATATGGGATACCTCTGTCACAGGCAGTGACCCAGGATACTGCACCACAACTGGCCTTGAGAAATATTTTAAGGTAACTTACATTAGCCAATAGGCTTTTCTGAAGATGTTTTCAAAGGGGAGATAGTACTGGCTTACAAATCAGTGTTAGTGTTTTTAAATCTGTTGTCAGATCAACACAAAAACATCCTGTTGTTCTTCCAGCCCTGGTTTCCTCCGGTTTGTGAGAGTTTTGTGTGGCATGTCTTCAGATGAGAGGAAAGCATTCCTGCAGTTTACCACTGGTTGTTCAACTCTGCCTCCTGGTGGGCTAGCTAACCTGCACCCCAGGCTCACAGTTGTACGCAAGGTAAAATTCTCTAGCTAATTGGAGATTTGAATGGAATGTAGTTATTTGATGACTGATGGAAATAAACTCGGTCCTCTGTTATTTTTACCTTCTTTCTGTAGGTTGATGCTACTGATGCAAGCTACCCATCAGTAAATACATGTGTGCATTATCTTAAGTTGCCTGAATATTCTTCTGAGGAGATCATGAGAGAACGTTTACTAGCTGCTACAATGGAAAAAGGCTTTCATCTCAATTGAGCTTTGAAGTGCAATGGGAGACATCCAAAACTTTTAAAATGATAGTGAAGCCTCTTGTGTATGTGTGCAGAGAAGTATATGATCCTCTACGCTAATGATACTTGCCTTTTTTTCCACCATTAAGGCTTTAAGGTCATGTGGAATAAGTTTGTTAGCTGCTAATGACAAAACAAATTTTTTAACTACCCAGCCAGCAAGCATCTAGCACAGAACACTGTGTTGCTTTACAAGGGCTTATGTGACTGGAATGAGGTGGTCCCACTTGACTGTTCCAAAGAGCAGCTCCTCAGATCTTCAGTGTTCACTGGTAAATTTCTAACAGTGTCTTTCTGTACAGTTTGTCATTTCATACTCCATACACTACAGTTGACATCACTGATCCCTGTTTTGCTGGCTTTTAAGCTACTTGGTCAGAAATTCTGCTTCCTTAAAACCAAGAGTTAATGAGCATCTCAAGCTTTTTCTTTTCCTTTAAATGATGCCTGCACTATCAGAGTATTCTAGTGTTCTCTCTTTGTTTGGCATATAATCATGCACAACATTTTTATGTCTATGAGGTGGGAATATATTTTTATTTCCTAAATGCCATACTATAAAGATCAAATTCTTAAGTGTGTTTGTGCAGCTCAAAAATAAAAGTATATTAGGCGGGGGGGAGGGGACACTGGTTTAGGTGCAAGGCACACTTAAAAGCAGGTTTTACTTTGGGTTGTATTTTCTTTGTATATTATAAACATTTATTTAACTTGTTGCAGTTTGAAGTAAGAAAAAAAAATTTCCAAAATGTATGCTCAACAATAATCATTAAAATGTTTGCAGCGTACAAAACTGTGTCATGTGAATATTTGACTGCAGTCATCAGACATGAGCTTAACCAGATAATTTTCATTTTGAATCATTCAGATTTCATTTTCTGAAATCACTACATGAAGAAGTATATTTTTCTATGGTAAATAAATATAACTGAAATGGAAAGTCTCACACTTGACTGTGATCCAGCTGTTGTGTTCAGTCTCAAAAGTATTCCTCATTAGAAGTGACTAGTTATTTGTAATCTTTTTAAAATAACAGATCTGCTATTTATTTATCATTGTTTTCTCTGCAGGAATAATCCAAGAATGAGTTTTAGTCTAAGATCCAAGGTTGAGTTTTAAATGCCATATTAATGTGTAAAGGAACTACCATGATACTACTGTGTTGAATTTATTCAGTATTTACCCATTCCATATTAGAAGAGGTATCTCCCATTATGATTGATGACATGAAGGCAGTCATTTCAATTCATGGAGGAATGTTTGCAGGTCCCCTTTGGATATCAGAATCCATGGATGACCAAGTCCTGTGTGCAAAATGGCTTCTGGTCTATATGTACATCTTTCAGATACTTACAATGAAGAAAAAAAAAATCAAGCTGTATTGAGGCAACAGTGACAAGGAAAAAGGTCTCTACATTTTGAGTATGAGGGCCATTTTTTTTACTTCAAATAGTTGTTATCGACAGTTCTTTGATATAGAGGGCTAATTGCCTTGTTTGTAATGGCTACATGAAAGTGGTTGTGATTATGAAATCAGAGGCAGCATTTAAATATTTCACCTTATTGTCACTTTCTCAGTTCTCTGAGAATAAAGGCATTTATAGCACTATTTAAATTCATGACTCATGTTTCAATCCAAAAAAGTAGTGGTGGTTCTGATAAAGTCAAAATGTACAACTGCAAGTGAATACTAGTGTTAGAATTAAAATGCAGTTGAAGTCACACATTTGTGTCACTGCAGGTTAAGATGCTGCTTGTATTACCTGCATCCATGTTGCACTGTGAGTCCCAGCTGCTCTGCTTTTCCTCCAGCTCCCTCCAAGGTACCTGGGAAAGCAGTAGAGGAAAGTCCAAATGCTTGGGCCCCTGGCAGACTGGGATGAGTTCATGGTTCCTGGATTTAACCTGACCCAATCCTGGCCATGTGGCATTTGGGGAGTGATCCAATGGATGGAAGATTCTCTCTCTTTTCTTTCTGTGTGTTTCTCTCTCCATCTCTTTCTTTCCTTGCCCCTCCCTGCTTCTTTCAAATAAACTTTTTAAAATTCAGTTTATGTGTTTAGTGTTATCATTATTTAAGCCTCTGAAATCTGACAGGAGTCAGATTTTAAATAATAAACTTTCTCGAAGTATTTTGACATGAAATTATGAAATTTACATTTCAGCATCTGTGAATAAAGTTCTGGTAGAGTGCAGCCATGCTAATTCATTTACATACTATTTAGGATCTGGTACTTCACAGAAAAAGCTCACTAAACTCTGAGTCAAGAACAAGGGAAGGCTGACCAACCATAAGGAAACATTATCCTAAGAGAAAAGAATGGTGAGATTTTGAGTGAGGTGATGACAACAGCTCGTAAGTACAAATAGTCACATGGCAGTTAACTACATAAGTCAAGTGTCAGGGGTCTCCACATACACTTGTTTATTTTTTCCTGTGATACCTAATATTTTTTAAACTTCTCTCAAGGTACGAAAATCTGTGCCAAGATGTAATTCAACTACTATTTTGGTGTGACCCCAAAATTAATTTTGTTCACTCCCTTGCTACTTCTGGTGTACCAGTTTTAACATTACCTGAATATGTTACTGATTAAGTGCTGTCAACTAGGACAGTGTTTCCCAACCAGTGCGTCTCTGAAATGAAAGACCTCCAAAGTAGCTGGATCTAGACGGGGCGTTCCCCAGACCTTGATTGCTTAGCACAGAAGTGAGCTTGCACACAAACTGGACTCAATGTCTTCCAACGTGTGAAATATCAGCTGAGGCTGGCTTTTGTAGTCCACTGTTGACCAGAAACATGAAGGTGGCTCTACTCCCAACACAAATTTAAAAAGCAGCATAGCGTTTCAGCATAAGCCCCTAGGCTGTCCATTTACATTCTCTTTTGAAGGAGAGTGTTGTAGATGGAAGAACTCTTGGGGTACTCCACAGATGGCAGATGTCTGAATGTACCCAAACTTGTATTTCCCTTTCCTTCTTTGAAGCTGTCCTCTGACCCCCAGACACATAATATGTGCTTTTGTGCCCGAGGTTGCATATCCTCTAGTTAGCAGCAGAAGCACACTAAAAGCTTTTGGGAGAAATGGGGCACCACTCTTTGGTAATGACATGGTACATGTCAGGAAGGAGCTAAAGGAGGAAGGGAAGGGCTCATTTTAGGCCAACCTGAACAAAGATCATTCCTAAATTTTGGACTAAATTTCATCAACAAATATTTACTAATGCCTTTAACATGTTGCCAAAAGGGCAGTTTTAAGAGAGCTTAATGTTTATTGTTTGTCAGTGACATCCTCACTAATCCCTTGGTAGCATTAGAATTGCCAAGTGCCCTTAAAAATGGGTATTAAAAAAAATGGGTATCAAAGGTTTTTAGAATTGTCAGGTTTAACTCTGGAGCATTCACTAGGTACATATTAGTGTTTGGGAAAAATTTTACTAAGACTTTTTAAAGGAAAATCATTGAAAAATAACTCAAATTCCTTGTGTGTTTCAATCACTCTTTAAAATTTTTATTGGTTGGTCTACAACTGCCACACTTTCTTGCTACCTGCTTGCTATTCCTGAATATATTTGACAAAAGGTAGCAGGGACCAAATAGGATTCCTTAGATACTCAATAAAATGTAAAGAAGTAGGGAAAAATAAAGTGTCTTGCTTGAGAGAAATTTTGTTAACATTTTAAAATACCATTTTGTTTTTAATTTAGGAACTATGGAAAACTCGTATTTTATAGTGTCTTTGGAAGAATACCCATTTTGCAATGTGATGTGGAAGATTGTTTTGGGCCATAGATCTTGAGGTGTGGTTCATGGCTTCTTTAAACCCAGCAGAGCCTCCTGTTCAGCTTTCTGATAGCTTGTCAATAATCAGTAGAGGGGTAAGAATTCTTGCACGATTAGTTTCCACAATGCAGCCATTTAACACCATCTCATCCAGAATCATGTGTACTTTATCCAAATTAAACATTATCTAGGGTCATATTAAGGAAAATTAGTTTTCAGTTAGAAAAATGTTATACAGTAAATAACTTTGCTTTAGCATGGAATTTTCTGTTTAAATAATCAGGTCTTCTGTATAGAAGTCCTGAAGTTAAAAATTAGCATCGATATTGGAAATTATTTCCTTCATATATACATACGACTTTAGCTTCAACTGATAAGCAGGCACAGAAATAAAACAGGTACATTTTTCAGAAAAGGGGAAGGGTTCTTCTAAGAGCTAGAGAACAAAGTGATGTTTAGCAAGAGAATGACCTTACTGCAAGAATAATACTGTCTGAGACTGAGCATTTGACCTAGTGGTTCACACGCCCGTGTTCCCCATCCGAGTGCCTGAGTTTAACGGCTGGCTCCAGCTGTCGACTCCAGCCACCTCGTACTACAGGCCTTGGCAGGCAGCAGTGCAGTCTTTGTGACTGAATCCCTGCCCACTCACACAGGTGGCCCAGGTTAAGTTCATGACTGGCTTCAGTCCTAGGGTGGGGCTGTTAGGAGCATGTGGGGAGCAAAGTAACAGATGGGAAGCTCACACGCTCTGCGCCTTGTTCTCTTTCCCCATCCCCAGCAGCCTCTCAACACACTAAAAACACTGAGAAATGAAGGAAGAAAAGCAAGGTATGCTGAGTCAATACTTCAGTAAATAAAAACTTTAAAAGAGTGCTTCTTAGAAGTGGATAGTTATAAAAAATCATTTGCAAGTTAGGGAATGCCATTCAAGCTCACTGTTATTCTCACTTAAAAAATCTGCAGAGGTACTGGGAAGGGGGCAGAAAAAACTTGTTGGGTCATGATGGCTAGCAAACCAGAGAGCAAAAATTCTTGCCTCAGCGGTTTGTTCATTTTACCACCTAATTTGAGAAAGGACAAGGGGGACTGGAATGAAATGCCAAAGCTAGATTTTTATAAAGTTTATGTTTTAATATCCAGAGAGCCCACCTCAGTGTAAAGAACATGCATCCTGGTCTGTTTGAGAGTATTTTCAGAAGCGAAGACGTCATGCCAACAGCTGTTTAGAGAGAGTGGGACTCTGCTCCTGGGGAAGCTCCAGTTGGGACCATCTCCAGCATTCATTTCTACAGCTGTTCAAAATTAGTGGCTTCATAATAATGGTTACCATCTTTTTTTTTTTCTTCTGCCCAACAATTCCAGGTGTTTAAGGTCTATTTTATTTGCCTAGTGCATCTGTAGATACAGGGACAACCTATGAGTGAATTCTTAATTCTGTTGTGCTCTGCATTAACATTAAGCTCCATGTAAATGGCCTGCTACAAAAGAAACTTTTTGCAGGGGCCGATGGGAACTGTCCTCAAGTGACCCAGAAACAAGAAAACTTCAATCTGACGTACCTATTAATAATGCCTCTCAATTATACAGATGATTGCTTTGTCCCATGGCCAAACTGGATTTAGGCCCTTGACTCAAACCTGTTTCTCAGACCCAGAAGCTGGAGGACCTAGAAGCTGAGACTAGGTGGGAAGCCAGCCAAGTGAACAGGCAGAATGAAGAAGCACAGGTGAGTCAGTGAAAATAGTTTGCAAAACTCCTCTTGCGGTATTCACCATGGCCGTGAAAGCCTTACTGCCTTTAAAGATGTCGACTTCTCAGGGCCAGCATGCTGGTACCACTGACTAATCCTACATCTGCAAGTGTGGGCATCCCATATAGATGCTGCTTCGCGTCCTAGCTGCTCCACTTCCCATGCAACTCCCCACTTATGGCCTGGGAAAGCAGCAGAGGGTGGCCCAAATGAAGCCTTGGAAACTTGCATTTGCATGGGAGACCTGGAAGAAGCTCCTGGCTGCTGGCTTTAGATTGGCTCAGTTCTGGCTGTTGTGGCCATTTGGGGAGTAAACTAACAGATGGAAGAGCTTTATGTTTCTCCTCTCCTGTGTAAGTCTGCCTTTCCAATAAAAATAAATCTTTAAAAGAAAGAAAAGGGGCCTGGTGCGGTAGCTTAGTGGCTAAAGTCCTCGCCTTGAATGTCCCGGGATCCCATATGGGCGTCGGTTCTAATCCCAGCAGCTCTGCTATTCATCCAGCTCTCTGCTTGTGGCCTGGGAAAGCAGTCGAGGAAAGCCCAAAGTTTTGGGAACCTGCACCCACGTGGGAGACCTGGAGGAAGTTCCTTGCTCCTGGCTTCGGATAGGTGTAGCATTGGCCATTTGCAGTCACTTGGGGAGTGAATCCTCAGACGGAGGATCTTCCTCTCTGTCTCTCCTCCTCTCTGTACATCTGACTTTCCAATAAAAATAAATAAATAAATCTTTAAAAGAAGAAAATGAAAGAAAAAAAAATGTTGACTTCTCCAAGAAATTGAAATTGAAGAAATTCAAGAAATTGAATTGTAGTCTGTGAATCGGTTCAGGAGATCAAAGTGCAATGAGGACTGCTCTATCTCTGACAAGCAGACAATCTGCGATTCAGATTAAATTCTTTGAGCAGCTGCATGATCTGTTTTGAAATTCAGATTAGAATTTCCTGCTGAATCATATCAACCACAGACATCCCCACGCTGCAAGGGCGAGTTCCTCCAGCAAGTCTGAGTGCCCCAGCACCCTGGCAACACGAGTGGCCAGTGAGGTCACTCTGCCGTGGGGCATGTGACTCCCTGCATCTGTGTGTCTGGATCAAACCCTGGTAATCACGCAGCCCCGTGGCGCTATTTGGGGAAACCACAGGACAAAGCCAGCATGAGGCAAAGGCCTAAAAGAAGATTTCCATGAAAAGAATTTTAGGACTCCTTCAAAATAAGAATATAGCTGTTCACATCTTGATTTAGTTTATAGGGAATTTGGCTATGCTGATGAAACCAAGAGTAACGGCATCTGGGCCATGTGCCAGGTGAATAGGGACCAAAAACAAACCCCGGTGAGCCAAGCCCAGGCCAGAAAAACAGACTTCCATCCTGATGTTTGGAACAGGAGGAGACAAAGTCCCATGATGTGGGTCTGCTAATGTGAGCTCAGAAATGACTACTGTATGGGGCTCACCTTCAGTCCACACTAAACTTGACTGACTTGGAAGGTTCTGCAGTGCAAGTTGTGTGCCCTCCTAACTCTCAAGGTAGCCTGCTAGCTGCCACGAACTGCAAACAACTTCCAAAGCACAGAGGCCTACTCTTCAATCCTGGAAACCCACAAGCCTTTCTGAATGTTTGCATCATGTGCAGTGGAGCAGAACATCATAAAGCCTCTGTAAGGGTAGTGCCCCTTGAAATCATGTTTTAAAAACATTTTTTAAAGTGACTGAAATGTTTATGAGTTGTATATTGAAAATGGCAACTCATTTTGCAGCACAGTATTTTAGCACCACTCTGGTGGACTACTTAAAATCAGGAAAATCTAAAATCTTTTTTTTTTTTAAGATTCATTTATTTTTATTGGAAAGTTGGACAAACAGGAGGGGAGACATAGAGGAAGATCTTCCATCCAATGATTCATTCCCCAGGTGGCTGCAATAGCCAAAGCTGAGCTAGTCTGAAGCCAGGAGCCAGAAGTTTCTTCTGGGTCTCCCACACAGGTGCATGGTCCTAAGGCTTTGGGCCATTCTTGACTGCTTTCCCAGGCCACAGGCAGAGAGCAGGATGGGAAACGGGGGCTGCCTAGATTAGAACCAGCAGCCACATGGGATCCTGGCACATGCAAGGTGAGGACTTTAACTGCTAGGTTACCACATTGGGCCCAAACCTGAAACCTTTTCTTTTTCCAATATTTACTGATTTTTATTGTAAAGGCAGTCATACAGAGAAAAGGACAGACAGAGAGGAAGATCTTCCATCCACTGATTCACTCCCCAAGTGCTCACAATGGCTGGAGCTGAGCCGATTCAAAGCCAGGAGCCAGGAGCCTCTTGTGGGTCTCCAGCATGGGTGCAGGTTCCTAAGGTTTTGTGCCATTCTTAACTGCTTTTCCAGGCCACAAGCAGGGAACTAGATGAGAAGCGGGACGTTCAGGATTAGAGCCAGCACTCATATGGGATCCCGGTGTGTTCAAGGCGAGAACTTTAGCCACTAGCCTGCTGGATCCCCAAACTTGAAATCTTAAGAAGCAATTTCAGAGCATGTCCCGCCTGGAAGGGAAAACTTAACTGCAGACTGTGGTCAAACCCCTTGGATTCTCACCTTGATATTCCCTTTAAAAAAATTTTTTTTTTAAAGATTACTTAAGTAAGCAAAGTTGTTTAAGTACGGTGGGGGAAATCTCTTATTTTGTGTTATCCTATTATAATTTGCACTTAATTTGATGTCCCATGATATTAAGGCAGTCGCCAGGGGCCAATGTGTATCTTACTTCCCCCCCCTCAGAAAACTGCATGCCTCTGCATGTTCCTGGAGCATCCCACTGCAGGAGTCAGGAGTCTCTGCTCATATGTAGGCTTAGTATGGTATTTCCTTCATGAGGCACCTGCAAAGGCATGTAGCTTTATGGGTTTTAGGCATTTGTTTGTTTTTTAGGTTTTTTTGCTGTTGTTTTGTTTTGTTTTTAGGTTCCCCTTAAAGGAAAAGTCATATTCTGAGAATAGGACACTCAGACATAAATTTTGTTAAATAAATTTCTGTAGGCTTTATCCAATTAAATATGAAAATCAGGACTGTGTCAAATGAGCCTACATTTCTCTCATGGTTTTCCTTTGCTGCTTTTCATAAGTGGATGTGACTATTCCTGATTGAAAACAGAATAAAGGGCCCGGCATGATGGCTTAATCAGTTAATCTTCCCCTTGCAAGTGCCAAAATCCGATTTGGGCACCATATGGGTGTCCTGGCTGCTCCTCTTCCCTTCCAGCTTCCTGTTTGTGGCCCAGAAAAGCAGTGGAGGATGAATCAAAGCCTTGGGACCCTGCTCCTGCGTGGGAGACCCAGGAGAAGCTTGTGGCTTCAGATCGGCTCAGCTCTGACCATTGTGGCCATTTGGGGAGTGAATCAGCTGATGCAACACTGACATCCCTTTCCCAGGGTAGAGTAAGAGACAGACAGCTGTCTCCTGGGCACCGTTCATATCACAGCACTGGCCAGAGCTTCCTGCTGCTGGAGGAGGCCCAGATCCCCGCCTTCCAGTGCCTGCCCCTCCTCAAAGATGGCTGACTGCACACATTCCCTCAAGTCAAGAGCCCCCTTGCAAAAGTTGAGCTTTCAATTTCAGTAGCTTTCACAGGAAAAAAGAAATGACATTTCCAGGTATGGACTCCATCCCTGGAGGTGGACACTCTGAATGTGGATCTGTCCAGAGCGTAAACAGCATGGCTGCTGGGGCTCCTGTACCCAGCTTCTTCGGGTTAAGGTCATCACTTGATCCCAAGAAAAAAAAAACTTTTCATGGTATTTGAAGTCTTAAATAATTCTACTGGTGCATCTGACGCAGCAGATTCTGCCCAAGGGACTGAGGCCTTGTGAGACCTTGAGCCACAGTTCAGCCTGCTGGGGGCAGGCATGGCCTGTGAAAGCTGTACCAGGGCTTGCTCATGGCATAAGACTGATTCAGGTCAGTGGTGGGCTTGGTCCCCAAGACAAGGCCTGTCCCGCCTGATGCTACAGCTGCACCCAAGGATTTCTACTTACTGGAAGGGCTTCAACAAGCCGGGACATCTGGCCTGATTTCTTGTGCTTAGGTCATTTCTGTTTTAAATCCCATCTGTCTCACTCTGTGATGTTCCCCTTAATGGAAGTAGAACAAGCCAGGACAAGAAATAAAAGGTGCACTTCTCAGGGTCAAATTGCCAGGGTTCTGCAAACACCCCTTCTCATCTTTGGAAGGTCTCGGGGAGAGGGGGTCTGACAAGCTTCTACCCAGAAAGACTGAAAGACTCTGGTTTCATGAGGTTTTGACTTTTCTCCCAAGTATTCCCACAGCAAGTCATCAATCAGGTCTGTTCCATGTGGGGAACAAGGAAGGCTTTCTTAAGAATGAGCACACCCAGGCCTGGCGCAGTAGCCTAGTGGCTAAAGTCCATGCCTTGCATGTGCCAGGATCCCATATGGGTACCAGTTCTAATCCCAGAAGCCCCACTTCCCATCCAGCTCCCTGCTTGTGGCCTGGAAAGCAGTCGAAGACAGCCCAACCAGAAGAAGCTCCTGGCTCCTGGCTTCGGATCGGCTCAGCTTTGGCTGTTGCAGTCAGTTGGGGAGTGCATCATTGGACAGAAGGTCTTCCTCTCTGTCTGTGCTTCTCTCTGTATATCTGACTCCCCCTCCCCGAAATATGAGAAATATGAGCACACCCGAGGACATTTCATACCAAGTGGAGGACTAGCTCCGGGGGGTGATTGTAATTACAGCAGGTACTCTTTTGTACCCTCTCAAGGCCCAGGAAGCTTTCCTGACAAAGCCGACTAACAGCAATGCCAACGATTCCAATGGATTCCTGACTCCATTCTACCAGGACAGTGATGCAGAATGTGTGCCCCACCCAGAGAGCGTGGGCTGCCACAAGGCCCCTTTGTCTTTCTGCACGGAAGGAGTCTGCTGAGGCCCTGAGAACTGTTCATGAAGCAGAGGTGAGTCACAGGTTTTACTTCTGATTTTTTTTTTTTAGACAGCTGAGGGTGGTAACCTGCTAAGAATGTCAAGAGAAGTGCCCAGTGCCCTGGCTGGAGATCTGCTCCATTTTTAGTCCAGTGCAGGAGCAAGAGAAGTTATCCTTGGAGCAAAGACATAGATTCAGGATCTGGAGTGGTTTCATTCCTTTCTTTACATGCTGTAAAATTGTGCCTGAGGACAGGAAGTCAGAAGGGAAGGAAAGCAGAAATGAAACCAGGTAAGAAGACAAGAATAATTATAAATTCTGGGTCTGGGGATGACAAGAGCACCCAAGAATACTGGAGTTTATTTCAAATAGCTGTGTCCTACAAGAGAGGCACACACACAAGTTCACCTGTCTCTATTTCAAAAAGAATCATAATTAGAGACACAGGGAGAGGGACAGAGACACATTGTCATGGGACTCATGTTGAACTGCATCAGGCAGGCCTGGGCGAGGGCGAAGCAATGAGCTGTTAAATCGCCCACAAGGCTGGCAGGGACGCCAGTCCTAGAGCTCTTACCTTCTGCCTCTCACAGTGGGCAAGTGGCTGGAGCCAGCACCTGAACTTGGGCTGCAGATCTCTAAACTGCTAGGCCAAACCCCTGTCCCTCTACTTGGGATAAACAGCTAATCAATCTGACACATCAATAGCACTAGTCCAAGGGAGAACACAAATACTGTGATTCACTTTACCTGGACTTCTGGACTTAAAAGACTTGGTTCCTGCTATGGATAGAAGTTCACCCACTTAAATATTAAGATACAGGGGGTATTAGGGCTCTTCCGATCTAACCATATCACTGTGAGATGAAGGGTTTATATGCCTGGTTACATTCACATAGGAGTCAGCCAAAAGTGGTTGGGGGGATCCTACACAGTAACCTAGCAGCTAAAGTCCTCACCTTGCACATGTCGGGATCCCATGTGGGCACTGGTTCTAATCCCAGTGGCTCCACTTCTCAAAGCAGTCGAGGGTGGCCCAAAACCTTGGGACCGTGCACCCATGTGGGGGACCTTGAAAATAGAGGCTCCGGTCTCCTGGCAGCGCAGCTCGCCATTGAGGCCACTTGGGGAGTGAAACAATGGACAAAAGATATTCCTTCCTCTCTGTCTTCTCTCTGTATATCTGACTTTCCGATAAAAAAAAAAAATGGTTGTGGATCTGTGTACCTTGGGCAAAGTGTGTGTCAGTCTTTGCCATCCTCCTGACTTCTTAAAATCAAAGGCCTTTTTCTTTTTTAAAAAAACTTTCCTGCACAAGTCATAGGAGGTTTATTTTCAAGTGTTTTCAGGGCTTAGTTAAAATAGAATGTGACAAGCTGAATAAAAATACAGCTTCACATAAAGCCCAGGCTCAGTGCGGGCTTCTAGGGTCACAGGGGCCACTGGCTGACGTCACTCACCACTAGAGGGCACTCAGATTTTCAGTTTAAAGAGGCTTCTGATAGTCTGCAAATCCACATTGCCTACTGACAGTAACTAGTAAATGGCCACTTCCCACACCGGGCCCAAAGTGAAGCATTCTTAACTATTACTATGACATTGTCTTGTCAGGAAATAGAGAAGGATCTTAATGAGAACTGACTGTACTTAAACAGAGAGAGAAGGGGCTTTACCAAATACCTATGCCTTTGCTTATCTGGTAGTGTTGATGATGAGTATTGTAGACTCTGTCGTCCTACCCCCCAGCATGACACTTACCCGAGGAGGCCTGGGGTGTGCTTTGCCAAATACTGTGAGGAACAGCACTGAAAAAGGATACATCTAATTCACTCTGGAAAAGACAAACAGAATGCGGGTGAGAAGCAGATGCTAGGTCAGGGTGCTCTTAGCAGAGCTACCTGCTACTCTGGCCTCCAAGGCTAGAAGCTATGGGGACAGGCTGCCACCGTGCTGGCAGCAGCCTGAAAGCTGGAAGGCCGAGTCTGGGACTCTGACAGGCCAGCCCAGTCCATCTAGCTCAACCTTCACAAATGGCAGAGAACTGGACATGTGTGTCAGAAACTGTATAGTGCTCCAAACCCTTGAAATTCACTTATTTCATTCTCAGAAATTCAGACTAAGAAAATAATGAAGCAATGGCCCAAAAATGTGTGAGAGGTTTGCTCAAGTGATGCTCTTTATAATAGCAAATTGCTGAAAATAACCTTAGCATCCATTGAGAGGACATTTGTTAAGTAAATTATAGCCTATAGCCTATGTACAAATGAAGCCATGCACAAGGAAGTGCTAACATATTACTGAATCAATCACCAAGTTCTAAGGGATGGCATAAGGCACATTCCATATCCAAGTGTCTGCATTTGAGTCCAGGATTCCTAGTCCCAGCCCTACACCTGCCTGTAGCAGTGACAACCCCAAAATCACAGCCCCCACCTCCTGCAGAGCTGCCTCCCTGGATGCCACTGGGCTGGCTTCATGTTCTCAAGACATGATGCAAGGATGCTTCTCTGGCCAGACAGCATGAGGCTGAGCTCCAAATTTAAGATCTGGAAACTCTGGGATTTAAAATACCTCTGTAAAGAATGCTTAAAATTCACAACTCCAAAAATAAGTCTTAGATGGCAAGGCACGTTCTCTAGGAGTGGGGCAGATTCTAATTTCTTTCCCATGCCACTCTTCCTTCTTCCTCCTCTTGCTATGGTTTGTTCCTAAACCAAGGCATCTTTTAGTATACAGGCCAAGTCCTACATAATCACCTGGCTTAAACTCAACTCTAATCTTCACTTCTGTGGTTTGTGTGGTCACTGACTTGCTCCCTAAAATATAGTTGCAACTCAGCAATGTACTGTTTATTCTTAGTCTCTGAATACAATGATAATAATTGTTTAGAATGATGGTGCTCATACCCACATTTTATTCTCCCAGATTTAAAACATGGTTATTTGGGGGGGGAACTATACTCTTCTTATGATGTGTGTTGCCTTATCATGGCCAGCTCTGAGCACAAACCCTGAACTGTAACCAGTCTCTCTAAACAAAACCATGGTCACCACAGGACAAGCAACGAGTTACAATCACGCTGTCCAGGGTGGGAGTCACCAGCCACATATGGTGGTTGACACTTTCATTACACTTAACCAAAACTCAATTTCAATTCCTTAGTTATGCTAACCACATTTGAGTTGCTCAAGAGCCACCTGTGGTTCGTGCCAACCACACAGGATAGCACAGGTACAGGACGCTCTTGTCACTTCAGGAAGTTTGATGGACAGTGCTGGCGATCAACAGAGAACTATGGTTTAACATTGGTCTCAATACCCTCTCCCCTAAGGCTGCTCTCCAGAATGGCCTCACCTCTGACCTCTTCCGGCTTTGGAGAGCAGTGACTCCTTGCTGACTAACGTGCAGTGTCACATCACAGGCTCACCCCTTGTCTTCCCCACTCCAACTGACAGGATGCTTCCTCATCAGGCGCTGAGGTGGTAGATTTACACAAGCATCAAAATCACCCAGAAGGCGTGCGGATGCCTGCATTCCTGGGCCTCAAACCAGAGTTTCTGCTTCAGTGGTCTAGGATAGAGCCCAAAGGTTGTATTTCTAGTGCCGCAGGAGCACTGTGAGCCAGAAGGAAAGGTCAAGAAAATATGGCATCCTTGGAATTTCCCTATTACATGTGAAAACTATTTAAGGCACATGTTCTTAACATAGACCCAAGGGGCCTTCCTTTCTGGAAAACTGGGTGGTGTGTTTCAGGAATTAATTAGACTTACCACTCGGCTGAAATATTCATTTAAGACTTCCACAAAATTATGGATGAATTCATAAATAGCCATCTCGTTCTGAAACAAAGGAGGAGGGGTGCAGTGAACGGCCGGCCTGGTGTAAATCAGACTCAGAGCTGCCTGGCTATCCCAGGTGATGGACTACGTGAGCACATGTTTAAACCTCAGAGTTTTCAGTCCTGACTATCACCAAGTGGCATAAGCACATTTTCAGGGGTAACATATCCTTTTTCCATCTGGGAAAACCATTTCAAATGCCTGGTTCACAGATTTAAAAAACAAAACAAAACAAAGGACAACCAACAGATAGGGCAGATGTGTTAAGACAGCCACATCCCACATCTAGGGGCTCAGGTTTCATTCCTGGCTCCCATTCCCAATTCCAGCCCCTGCCACTGCAAATCTTACGGGCAGCAGTGGTCTCTAAGTAACATGGTTCCCACATGACAGACACAGATGAAGTTCCCGGTTCCCAGAGCCAGCTCCAACTCAGCCCCTGCCATTGCCGTCTGCTGGGGAGTGAGCCTGCCTGTCTCTCACATAAGTAAGTAAATAACTTGGGGGCAAAAAAGGGAAAATAATTAGGGAGACAGGCAGGAAGACAATGTCAATTTAAGGAAGAATAAAAATCAGACTATACTGCCAGTTTCTTGGATTTGCCACCAGTTGTTCTATTATCTTACCTCAGTGTCATTAACTCCAACCACAATGAAGAGAGCAGCATACTGCCGATAAATCAGCTTAAAATCCTTGTATTCAATAAAAGAGCACTAGACAAAACAAAATTAGATATTAATTCTGAGGTGGACAGAAATTTCTACAAGAGGGCATGTACATGTTCTAAGTTGATCTGAATATCTGCCAACTGGCTCCCTCCCAGAAACACAACCCTTTGAAAAGCTATGCAGTCTCCGTTGGCCTCCTCACGACATCGGGAGCCACTTGAAAGCATTTCTGGAGGGAGATGGAGGAGAAGTCTTAGGAAGGAGTCTGAGTGCTCCCGAGGCTTCCGGCTGGCACTCCTCATTCCATTGCATGACTCCGTGTGGAAGTGGCAGACCCAGCTAATGAATCAGTGCATTTGAAACCATCTCCATTGTGAAATGCTAACATTGCCTTTTATTCCCAACTATATTTTGGGGGAAAGCAATCAGATATTCTCAGTTTGATATTATCTAATAGTCACCAAGAAGACAAATACATATGAAATATATTTAAAAAAATAAATATATATCAGTTGCTTTTTCCTAGACACATGAAAAGGATCCGTGTAGATTCTTACATAAATTATTATTATTATTTTTAAAAAGATTTATTTTATTTATTGGAAAGTCAGATATACAGCGAGGAGGAGAGGCAGAGAGGAAGATCTTCTGTCTGATGATTCACTCCCCAAGTGAGTGCAACGGCCGATGCTATGCCAATCCGAAGCCAGGATCCAGGAACTTCTTCCGGGTCTCCCACATGGCTGCAGGGTCCCAAGGCTTTGGGCCGTCCTCAACTGCTTTCCCGGGCCACAAGCAGGGAGCTAGATGGGAAGTGGAGCTGCCGGGATTAGAACTGGTGCCCAAATGGGATCCCGGCATGTTCAAGGCAAGGACTTTAGCTGCTAGGCCACGCCGCCGGGCCCTTATATAAATTATTTAAGATACCCTATGTGTGACAGATGCTAGATAAAATGTGTTTCTGTAAACATTTCTTTGTATGAACTAATAACTACCATATCAGCACGGAATGTCTGAAACAACTGCCTTCTCACTCAGTTCGCGTAAAGCCGCTGTATAAAGGCTCAGGAGGCAGAAAGAGCAGCGTTACCCTCCATTCGGACTTCTGAGTGTGCTTTGCCAAATGCATCCAAGCATGAGCTGGAGCTTGTGCACCAGGGTGTGCTGCTCTTAGGTGCCTCAGAAGGAAGCTGTAAGTTTTGACTATGAAATCCTTCCATTGGAAAGCTATCTGCTTGATGGTTATAAAATGGAGAGCTCTGAGATTTTTACTTAGAAACCAGATCAAGTGAAAGAGTACAAGACCATTTTCCAGCTTTTGGCTTACTACAGACTCAGTGTGAATCCTTTCTTTCTTTCTTCCTTTTTTTTTTTTAATAAAAGATTTATTTATTTATTTGAAAGGCAGAGTTACAGACATACATATATAGAGAGATTTTTCATCTGCTGGTTCACTCCTCAAAAAGTCACAAAGGCCAGAACTGGGCCAGGCTGAAGCCAGGAACCATGAACTCCATCCCAGTCTCCCATGTGGATGGCAGGAACCCAAGCAGTTGGACCATCTTGTGCAGCTTTCCTAGGCGTGTTGGTAGGGAGCTGGATGAGAAGCACAACAGTGCAGCTCCTTAGCCAGTGTGACTTCTGCTCAGCTGGATGTTTTCAAGGAAATGCAAGTTACTTGAGGAACTGAGGAGGAACTTTTTTCAAAGGCATTGCAGGAGTTTCTCACATTAAAAAGTATCAAAGCACCTCTGTGGACCCGATATAAACTCTGCTGATCTTATCCTAGGGTACCTGGTCAATCCCAAAGCCCAGCAAGTTCCCTTTAAATTCTAAAATAGCTTAGAAGGATTCAAAATACAGAGAAGTCTATTCGTTCCACAGCCTGTATCTCAAAGGCACACTATGAGCAGAAACTGTGCAGCGGCTGCATTCTGCAGGAAGAGTCGGTCGGGAACGCTGCTGGAAGTGTGCTCTCCTGGATTCGGCGTGTGTGGCTGCCACCCCACAGCTTTCACGCTTTCTGTTTCTGTCTGATGGCAACACAAACTGTGTGCCAGGACAGGCCAAAGCAGTGACTGAAGGAGGAACTTAAGAGATGTTCCAACGGGAAAGTCACTGTAGGAGCCAAGAGGGACACCTTGCGGGCCCGTCACTTCTGAGTGCTGCTCAACCTGATTTGCGGTTCCCACACGCAGCCTTTCCCTACATGCAGCGAAGTGAACAAAGCGGAGGGGAAGTTCAGTGAATTTTCTGACGTCACCTCTTTTGTTGAGAAACTGCCATGGTCTTGAAGGTTAGGACCTGGATTCAAACAATTCTCTCTGAAAATACAGAACCATTTTAAACAATTCTCATGAAAATATACTCTGCTTTATGACTTTCTATTTATGATTAGTTTAATGATTTCATACCCTCCATTTTGGCAGGATGGATGGATTTGTAATTTCACATGAATTTTTAATTCCTACTTCCCTAGCTACATAGATAATTCATAAGTAAAAATCAAGCTTTTTAAATGTTTTTTATCATTTCTTTAATTGAGCTGAACATAATGGCTCAATGGTTAAATCCTCACCTAGTAGGTGCCAGGCTTTCATAAAGATGCTTGTTTGTGTCCTAGATGCTCCGCTTCCCACCCAGCTCTCTACTGCTTTTCCCTAGTGAGAAAGCAGTAAAAAATGGCCCAAAGCCTTGGGACCCTACACCCACATGTGGGAGACCCAGAAGAAGCTCCTGGCTCCTGGCTTTGAATGGGCTCAGTTCCGGCCATTGTGGCCACTTGGAGAATGAATCAATGGATAGAGGATCTTCCTCTCTCTCTCTCTCTGTATATCTGACTTTCCAATAAAAATTTTAAAAAAAAGTTTTCACCTCACTAGTTGACCTCCCATTTTTTGGCTTACAGAAAGCTATCTGCTGCAGAGGTCTAGATTCACATGGATGGAAAACAAAACAAAACAAAACAAAACAAAACAAAAAAAGACAAAAAAGATGAAGAAGATAGCTTGGACAACAGGATTAAATTTAGCTGCTGCCCCCCGTGGTGTGGAGACAAAACTGCTAAGCTAACTAGGAACCTGGGACCCTTGCTGGTATTCAGAGAGCTTTGTTCCCAATGGCCTTCATGTCATTCCTTTCTTTTTGTAATTGTTGAGGGAAAAGACTAAAAAGGAAATGATGGCCCTGGAGATTCAGTAATGGCAGATCTGCCAGTGCTGAGTAGAGAGCAGACTGAGGAGCCGCTGCAAACGTACCTGGTCGCTGGACCGTGACAGACAGCTTTTTATGACTTCAGTTTCCAGAAGTGTGCGTTTATGAATCTCCACATGTTCATAGTACTTGGAAAGCCGAGTCTGTCCTTGTTTATTAACCATGAGGAAAAACTTGATCATTTTTGTTTCCTGACCAGTATTTTTCCAAAAATTGTTCAAGTTATATGGCAGGAGGATGGCTGTAATATGTAACCTGGACAACAGAGAACAATAAAAAGGCAAGATCAAATCTCTCAGAAAAATCACAATGAATCTGCTCCACAAAGGAACCAGAAGCAAATAAACTATCACTTCAAAACATGGATCTTCACTCCTGGGAAACAATTGAGATTTTGGTCCATAAGAATCAAACATAAATTTGCATTAGTTACCCTCCCAGACAACGTCGAGCATCTGCAGTGCTAGCACCCACATCCGTTTGGCCGGGTACCACCACAATGTCCAGCACCAGAAGCATGTGGGGATGAAGCCATGACTTCTGATCAGATTTGCACACTTTGCACAAAGGTGCTGCGTAGGTCTAGTGGTCCACTTTGCATGACCACACCTAAACTATTTTGGAGAAGCCAACTTAGAAAGCAAAGACTAAGACTTGGACCCTGCGCGATGGCGCAGTGGTTAAGATCCTCGCCTTGCACACCCGGGATCCCATATGGGCACCGGTTCTAATCCCAGCAGCCCCCACTTCCCATCCAGCTCCCTGTTTGTGGCCTGGGAAAGCAGTCGAGGACTGCCCTCAGCTTTGGGACCCTGCACTCATGTGGGAGACCCGGAAGAGGCTCCTGGCTTCAGATTGGCTCAGCTCCAGCCATTGCAGCCGCCTGGGGAGTGAGCCATCGGACGGAAGATCTTCCTCTCTATCTCTCCTCTCTGCATATCCGCCTTTCCAATAAAAACAAAAACAAAAAAAAAAAAAAAAAAAGAAAAAGAAAGCAAAGGCTCACTTTTGGCTCTCACTCTTGAAGATTTGCTACCCACATCATGTGGCCCAAGGGGTTCCGTGTCTGATGATGGGGACAGACGGTGAGCCCTGAGGCAGAGAGAGACAGGAAGTGTGCCGAATCTCAGGAAGCAGAGAGAGCATGTCTGCAGCCAGACCTGCCTCCAGCTTAGGCCTCTAACCTTTACTCCAAGGGCCTTCCCCCAGGCCCACTTCTGTATACCTTAGTGGGAGAGAATTTCCATCCTTAATCCATTAATGAGTAACGTGGCTCCATTAAACACTAACACAAGACTTTGAGGATTAAGGATTTCACACATAGGTTTTTTGGGGGGTACATAATGCTATTATCTAAAGTACAACAACACAAAAAAATAAGTCAGAGCATGGAGTTGAGTCTTAACTGGCAAAGGTGTACTTCCATGTTGCACAGAAGGGGGACAAGGGCATCCCAGGAAAGCATCATTCAACAAGGCTTTGAAGAAGGATCTGGAACAAGAGACTTGGGGGCCAAAGAAAACTAGATTGTAAAAGCTAAGATTCTGGAAAGCTCAGTGTAGTTACAGTAAGAATGGTCATAGAACCCAATTATTATTATTATCTTAAGGAACTGTATTACTCTAGCCATCACCACCACCTCACAAGGTCTGGGGGTCAGGTGTCACAGCCACATATTGAACCCTGGTATTGCAGTGCGGGATGTGGGAATCCTGTCTGGCACTGTAACAAGCCAAGTGCCTGTCTCAATTCTCTTGATTCTCTGAGGCAGGTTCTTGTGTTATCATTATTTTTTAAAATTATTTATTTCTATTGCAAAGTCAGATATATAGAGAGAGGAGGATAGACAGAGAGAAATATCTTCCATCCAATGATCCCAAGTGACCACAACAGCCAGTGCTGCGCTGATCTGAAGCCAGGAGCCAGGAGCCAGGAGCTCTTCCGGGTCTTCCACATGGCTGCAGGATTCCAAGTCTTTGTGCTGTCCTCAACTGCTTTCCCAGGCCACAAGCAGGGAGCTGGATAGGAGGTAGAGCTGCTGGGATTCAAACCGGCACCCATATGGGATCCCCGCACGCGAGGACTTTAGCCGCTAGGCCACAGCGCTTGGCCTAGTTATCATTATTTTGAGGTCAGGCAAAATGAAGCTTAGGTATGTTAATAAAACACCAAAAATTACTGCATTATTTTGTGTGAGAAGTAAGCTGCAGCAGAGAGGCCAAGGGTAAACAGGGACCCACAACAGCCCTGGACTCATCTTTGTTCAGTGGCTCACCATTGTGGCTTAATGTTTTAAATATTCATTTTGATTTACTTGAAGGACTGAGAGGGAGAGAAAGAGTTTCTATTTCCCTGTCCACTGGTCAGAGTGAAGTTGGGGGGTGTCAAACTCCATCTGGGTTTCCTACACGGGCAGCCGGGGCTTCCGGACTCTAGCCGTCATCTGCTGCCTTCCAGGATGTACATTAGAAGGAAGCTTGGTCAGAGGTGGAGTAGAGCAGCCAGGAATCAAACAAGGTACTTCAATATTGCATACAGGCATCTAAGCAGTGGCTTAACCCCGTGCCACAACACACCCCATGTGGTTTAATTTCTAAATCAATTGTATTGAATCTTGTGCTTGTTCCTCTCACGCTCAATACAGATTTTGAAATAATCCATGCCAAGGAGCACAGCACTGACCAATGGCCATTCCTTCTTTCAGTTTGTATCATTCAATACATAAAAGCTGTAATAATAGCCCCTGTCAGCATTTCACATGATCACAATGCATTTGTCAAAACTACAAAATTCATATTAGTACTTGAGTCCTTGTCATCCACATGGAAGACCCAGACTAAATGACAGGATCCTGGTTTATGTTTGGCTCAGCCCTGGCTGTGAGGAGTATTTGGGCATTTCCCCTCTCTGGTGGCCTCTCTCCATCTCTTTCAAATACAGAGTAAAATAAAAAAAAGTAGATAATAGAGTTTGGCATGATAACCTAATGGCTAAAGTCCTTGCCTTGCATGTGCCAGGATCCCATGTGGGTGCCAGTTCATGTCCCAGCAGACTCGCTTCCCGTTCAGCTCCCTGCTTGTGGCCTGGGAAAGGAGTGGAGGACGGCCCAAAGCCTTGGGACCCTACACCCACAAGGGAGACCCAGAAGAAGCTCAGCACTGGCTGTTGTGGCTTCTTGAGGAGCAAATCAATGGATGCAAGATCTTTCTCTCTGTTTCTTTTCCTCTGTATATCTCACTTTCTAATAAAAATAAATCTTTTTTTTAAAAGTAGATAATAATCAGAATTCCAGGATCTTCCTAGTCATTTCATCACCACCAGTCATGTATGAGGCATACTATCCTGGTATTTAGTATAAATGAATATAATGGTGTAGGATGAATGCGGGATACAGATCCATCTGAATTCTTCGTTAAAAATCTGATTTTAATGTTAGAAAGCACATCAAAAAGTTAGTGGAAAACATGAAACTAAAAGACACATTCATTTTGATGTTCTAAATTTGGAGCCACATGCACAGTCATTTCATAATCCACATTTCCCACAGCATTTTGGAAGACTTTCTGTACACCTGCTGTTGGGTCACAAATATTAACTGTCCCTTGCAGCAGCTGTGGCTACAGGATTTTTTTCCCAATCTGCTGCCTGGGAGAGTAGAAAAGTGGGGAGATGGCAGCAGGGCTCCCGGTCACCCGAGGTACATGCTTGTAGCTACGCTAGCTCTAGCTGGTTGGAATGTGTGGGCATGAAGGGTCAGTTTGTAAACAACTTGGACTGTCAACACACCCAGCAGTGGCTGAATTATGTAGTTGGCTCCATTGCCCACTCTTTGAACATAAAGTGTTAGCTACCTGTTCAGATAGGGCATCTTTCTGAAGTGTGTGTGTGTGTGTGTGTGTGTGTGTGTGTGTGTGTGTGTGTGTTGGGTGGTGGCACTCTCCTGTATTCCTGGGGTCAAGGGCTAAGAAAGTATGCTAGAGAAACAGGGCAGACAGCAGGGCAAGGTGGCCCCTTGGTGAATGGAGTGGTTCCAAGACTAAGTGAACTCCATACTCTGCTGAGGCAGGAGAGGCTTGAGCTGATTGTGGGAGTAAGCACCTGAGTCAGGCTGCAAGGCACCAGGTGCTTTTTCTTCGGGATTTTGCCTCCTTGAGGGGACTTGTGGCCTCCAAGTTCCAGACTTGAGTAACACAGTCTTTGCCAGGGATCCGTTGCATGAGTCAAAGCTGCCGGATGCTTCTGAACCTGAGGTGGAAGAGGGAGATGAGGTCCACATGGAGTGGGCCCATCCAGGTCTATAGGAAGGGTTCACCTGATCTGTCAGCTACCCTATCCCTTTCTTACTGCCAGTATGCAGAACGTGACAGGACGGTGCTTGGAGTAGGTTTTCAACAATGATTTTTGCCCTCCCCGCTCACTTTTTCTTTCCTAAAACTCTATCAGACAGATGCTTTCTGCACCCTAAACACTGAGTTACCCACAGCCAGGCCCCATGAATTCACTCACAGTGAGGAACGGGATGTTATCTAGACCAGTTTGGCCAGGGCTACGACAGCTGTGCCACGGGGGAGGCCTTGGTCGCTCCCTTCCTTTTCCAGGAAGATAAGCTCACTGCTGTGGGAGCAATTGCAACACACTTTGTGGGGTTTACTCATTGGGTATTAAGTGCTGCCTTTATTCCACAGGCAAATTATTGCCAGTAAATTCTGAAAGGTGACCAGGAAGTGAAGATCACCATCCTCCCTTTCAGCGAAGTTAATTTAAAACCATCTTATGATAGCTAGAAATTATAATCCTATACCCTGGATTTCAATTGCCAAGTAAAAGAAAAAGATTTTTTTCTCTCAGAGATACCCAGGTCAAACTCCTTTGCCTTGAAACACTCTGGCAGCAGTAAGTGGTAAAAGGAGACGTAAAAAGATCCTGTTGAGAGATGACATCAAGGGATCAAACTGGTTTCCACCTTACCACGCGGCATTCCTTCCCACTGACTTCAAGAGTAAGGATGACAAACAAGAACAGGGCCAGCCCGGTAGGACACTGGGATACCAGCTATGAAAAGAATAGCTGAAGGCATCTAAAGACTCCAGAGACATCTAGAGACATCTTTCTGCATGCTCCTCACTAATTACACCTTTACAGCTGCAGGATTACATGGAGGTAGTCAAGTGGAAAAGCACAATCCTGTGTGCTCTCTACTAGAAAACGTGCCCACCGTGGTCACCGAAAACTCAGGGAGCAGGGACTGAGGCAAG